CAAATAGCCGACGCAGAAGATCCCTGGGTTTGATCTTCCACGAAGCTCACGGTCCACCCTCAATCGCATCCACTGCACAAACCATGGCAGATGCGGATGCCCTGATGCACAAATGTAAAACTCTCCAGTAGTGGTGCGACTGTGCTCATCCAGAACAGACCGTACAACGTGTAACGACGCAACGCCCCGATCCACAAATACGAATGAGAAATCGCAGCGACTGCGATCCACTTCGCTGCTCCTGACGCGATTATCCGGGCTCGAGCACCTGAATGTGACATCGCAGTTGCAGCTCTGCGTCCACATCAGCAGCGGAAGAAGCGGGCGAGAAGCGCGGCGGTCCAATCTCAGACAACCCAAGGTCAGCTCCGCAGATTTTCTGTGCATGTGAGGTAGGCAAGTAGGGAGAGGAGGAACCCTCCAGGTCAAACAAACATGCTGGGGCTGCTGCTGCTGCTGCTGCAGACAGCCTCCTCGCATCTACAATGTAGCCAACCCTCCTGCGAGATGCTGGCTGGCCGATGTGCCATCTGCAGGAGGATGGAGCAATGCAGAGCAATACAAAGCCTGAGGCTAGGTAAAGTGCCAGGTGGGGATTTTCCTTTCCAGCGTAACGCTGACGCGAGCGTAGCAACACCTCTGCCGGGCCCCCGCACCGCGTGACCATCATATCAACTGCCGCGAGACGTATCATGAGATTCTGCTGGATTGGAAAGGTGTCCTATTGATCCCCCCTTTTATAGCTCTTGAAGGGGCCGGGGATGGGGGGCGCACTGATTGTAACAAATATGTATGTTGAACTTCTTTCGCACCGTACGTAGCCAACCGTGTACGCTGCCAACCGTGTACGCTGAAGAGGGGAAATCTCCCTCATCAGCGTGCCAGGAAAAGTCCTGGCAAGGATTATTCATCATCATCATCATGCCAGGCACACTGAGAAACTCGCAGACGCTCATTGTAGTTTCAGGCCAGGGCAGTTCTGCACAGATTCGATATTCTCTGTCCGTCTGCTACAGCAGATCCGTTTGGAATCTCAACAGGACCTACATCTCTGCTTTATTGCCCTGATCAAGGCCTAAAACACCATTAAGAGGCCAGGGCTGTGGGGGTTTTTTGTGTTTTTCTCCTATAGCCCATGGAATGCGTTCGTGTCTCTGCTATTCGGAGGATCTTGGGTGTCTCTGTACATGTGCGCGTGTCCCCACGCGCATCCGTTTCTGAAAGTCTCGACGTGAATCAGCCTCATCTCGGTCGATGCGTAAACCCCGTTGGTTGTATTCACGTACGTCGAATTCCTTTCGCACCGTACGTACCCAACCGTACTAATCCGAGGTGGACCGGCGCTCCTCCCCTCTCTCCTACCGCAGTACCCATTCAGCCGGCAGTCCGGACGTCTCGAGCCGTGCCTCCTGGGCTCCTCCGCCGGCACTGGCTCCGTGGCGCCGCGCTGGGGCGACGGCACGGGGGGCGGCAGCGGCGGCCACGCCTTGGTCGGCGGCGCCTGCTACGGGAGTCCCGCCTCGTCCGTGTCTCCCTCCTCCGTCTCCCCTTCGTCGTCCTCGGCAGCCGCGCACCACCACCACCACAACCACGGACACCATCACCACCACCACCACCACGGGCACGTCCAGCGTTACAGCGCCGGCGGCGCGGTGGCCCCGCTGCCCGCGCCGCCGACGTCGGACATGTTCGCGCCGCTCGGCATGGCTCGACGCGCCTCCGACTACGACCCCGGGCAGCACTTCCCGGGATTCGCCTACATCAGCGGCGAGGCGGCCGCCGCCGCGAGTGCCTGGTCCAAGTGACGATCGCGGGTGAAGACGACGCCGACGACGCCGACGCCGACGACGAAGATGGGGCACGGCGAGGGATGCGTTCGGTCTGGAGCCACCGGCGGCCGACCGACCGCACGCACGCACGGCTTTGCCGGGAATAGCGCGGTTCGACGGCCACAATAATTTTGGCGAGTCCGAGCGGCGGGGACGGTTCAGCGTACGGTCGCTCTCTGCGCACTTACAGACGAGCGCTTCGTGCCTCCGAAGCAAGGTTTGAGATGCAAGGCAACTTACAAGAGACGCTGCACTCGCAAGACATCTTGTGGGGGGGGGGGGGGGCGGGGGGGGGTGTAGGGGGGTAGGCGGTGGCGGGGCGATGGCGGAGGGGGGTCTCTCAACGCAACGATTGGTGGGGCGCGACATGCGCGCCACCGAGGGACGTCGCTGGCAAGTGGCTGCACGCTCTCCGGCCACTGCGCTCGCCCCCCCAATCCCACGGCGCAAATCTCGGAGCGACGCGCGGACGCCGCAAGGTAAAGTCCATCGCTGCCGAGTAGCCAAGTACGGAGGAAGCTGTTACTTTTCTGGTGAAGAAAAAAATAACAGAAGTTTTTAAAAGTGGAAGAGACTGTTTCCCTTCACACCCTCCCCCCCTCCTCCCCATGAAGACTCTTGCACCTTTTGCCCTAATCTGTAGCAATGCTTGACTACATGAAGCCCGCATTCGCGAGATCAACTTAACTGTGACCGAAAGATCTTCGCAACAGACACCACTTTAAAAAAAAAAAACGTCCAGTACTGCAATTAGAAAGAAAAAAAAGATATATATAACAAAACCAAGCCCGTGTTTTGTGCAAAAGCATATTATCGTAGCCAAGATGTATATTTAAACTGCAATATTAATGTATTGTGTACATACGTTACGAATTTTGAAATAAAAAAAATTCTCAAAGCATCTCTCAAAGGGCCCCGCGTCGCGCCTTCCTTATTGCCCTCGGGAATAAATTAAAGTCGTCTGGAATGCGGGGCCTGGCCACGCACTGAGACTCATAATCTCCATTTCGTCCGCCTTTATTTCCTTGTCCCACCAGCTCACGTCTTATTTATACCCCTTTGATGTAAGCAAGCCTAACCTTTGACTTGCTCTTTATACGAGGCGGTGGCTTTGTTTGGTGGAGGGGTGCGCAAAAAAAAACACACTACCACCACCACCACCATCATCACGTTTAAACCGAGGAGAGAGAGGCCAGCTCAACTGTTACCTTCCATGCACATTAAGCCGCACATGTCCAGTCCCACGCGCGGTACCCGACGTCGTAGTCCTTTCACATTTCATCCGCTCCATGCCGCTTTGTTCAGTGCCGGATTCGTAATCCCCCAAACTCTTTAACCGCGGCTTGCTGCCCCGCGGGCCACGTGCGAACGGCCGGGGACGGCGACGGATACACACCGGCGCCGAAACGGAGAAAATACTTGCGCATGTTGAGAAAAGTGCCACGTTGGAAGCGGTGCCAGCAATTTAATTACCGTATGCGCCGTCACCATCACCGCCACCAGCGATGCCGACAGGGGTGGAGGAGTGGCGCTGTGGTTGTCCGACTGCGCTATAAACCCAGCAACTTCAGTTTGATTCCGAGCGACGGCTCACATCGGTGGAGGGGTGGTTACCTTAACTGGTATTGTAACACGGCCGATCAGCAAAGCTGCACTGACCAGCGTGGTGAAGAATGGTCAAATCACCTCCAATACTGACATTGCATGAGGGCTTCATACAGCAGTGGATTCACAAAGGACTGTCATGTGCAGTCAAAACGTACAAAACTGAATGAAAGAGATGGAATCGTAACCCCAATGTGCGACAAATCATTGCTGGGGCAGGGAGTGGGGGTGGGGTAGAGGTGAATCATTACACACATCGACCATTCACATGTTTGTGGAGGGCCATTTAAGCCTGGAAGACTTTTGTAAAGGCTGGGTTAATGGAAACAGTTCTTTGTCACTTAAATTCAATATTTGACGACAAGGCAATCTCTAAACAATAGCTGCAATACAAATGCATTTATTTCACTTTCAGTTATAAGGAAATGACAACAAAAAAAACCCCCCACCAGCAACAGTATAGAACACACCACCATAATTTTTCAATCACCTAAATCCATTCGATGTGCAACAGATTGACTTAATAAGAACTCGTCACAACTAACAATGAAGCTCGCGGCAAACCGGCCTCTTATGTTTCATCGGCAAGACATTTCGTGCAGAGAAAAAAAAATCAAGCTCGCCCATTACGTTGTTGTAGTATTGGGAACCGCGATGATACGCCAATACGAAATCCTTACTGCAGTCAAAACGTCTCGCGCGTTTTTTTTGTGTGCGTCTCTTCCCCAGTTTCATTCCATGTGCGACAACGGCATCACGTCGGGAGAGGTAGAGTCCACTGGAAACTCTCGGGAATGCCGGCGCGCCGCCCAATGTTAAATAAGAGCCCGTCAAAGTTGACGTTGTAGGTCCACTTCTGAAATAATTTCAAGTCATTTTTTTTATCTACACACCAGGGGGAGCGCTTTCCCACAAGCCCTGCTGCACAGGAAAGCCTGGCGCGCGGAAAATCAAGTTGATTCTTTTTTTTATTCTCAACGGCTACAAATGTGATGAATTAAAGCTTTCGTGACTGCAGTGATTCATGTTCTTGGTTCTTTCGGTAAAGTCACGTTGAAGGGAAACAATAAAATAATAAAATATATATAGCAATATATAAAAGAATAAAATATATATAATATATATTTTATTACTTTATTGTTTCCCTTCAACGTGACTTTACCGAAAGAACCAAGAATATAGCTACAAATTTGATTAATTAAATGAAAACCAAAACATTTAATGTGATGGGGGTTTATTTTTGACTGCAGTCATTAGTGATCGAGCCGAGACCATCAACTCATTGCACTTAAGTATCCGGTTTCATCACGGGCGGCTGAAACCGTGATTTGAACCGAGGATCACACAGCGGGGGGCTGGCTTTGTGCTTTGACCTCCGAGCCACCCGGCCACCTAAAGCGTCTCACTTGTTAAATTAAAAGGTTGGTGCGTGTAGCGTGGCTGGGAATACGAGCGCGCATATTCCCATCCACCCCTACACACACTCGCCCAATGACCGTGTGTCACAAACTCCGCCTGGGTAAAGATGTGCGACAGCTAAAATAATTTTGGTCAAAACTCCCGATACTTGAACTAATCACCCAGGGACCGCAAGTGCAAAGGAAAAAAAATACACCCAGTTGTTTTGATAAACATACAACACAATGAAAACCACGCCCCAAGACTGTAAAGTGCATGTGATTAGATTTGGGCACATGAAAGTCACAAAGTGCAACAACCATCCAACCCCCAAATATACATTTACCCACAGAAATCATTCACGCAAAAAAAACTTGACATTTTACTCGATAACCCTGCAGGTCAAACATTTGGTAAGACTTGCGAGAGGTGTCACAGCAAGGGGTGGAGAACCTATAGCCCACGGGCGGAATGTGGCCCACAACTTCATTTCATGCGGCCCGCGGCCAAAGGGGAAGCCGCCTCCTCCACTTTTAAACGGCCCGCAAAGAACATCAGTCACTTACAGGCAACCTGGCCGCCGCCGCCGCCGCCGCCACACTAATCGTACACTGGAGGTGAATATTTTCGACTGGATATGACTGTGTTCCTAAGTTTAGCGAGATCAATCATTCCTGCCAAAGGAAGCATCGTAGCCACGCTAACTGGGAACTGGAGGGGAACATTTGCGACCTGGCGATACTGTGTTTCCGAATTTGAGTGTGCCCGTTCACGTATCACTGCAAGTACCTTAGCTGCTGGGACGTATTTGAGCATAAAACACTTTTTTTTTATTTCAGCACACTCAAATCAATTTTGAAAAAAAAAAGAAGCCTTCCCGCAGTGACATAAGTGGCCGAGGAGGGTTAGCGTAAATACGTGCGAGACGCGTCAACGGTCACCGAGGGTACAACTCGGTCCTCGAGTCAGGGAAAGGTTCCCCCCCCCTCCCCTCCCACCCGTGCATTCAGTGGGCAGCTGTGCGTCCAAAGGGAGGAGGTCGCTCCACGGGCGGCGGCGGCGGCGGCGATGAACGAGATCACGTGCGGACGCGCCAGACCAGGTAGTAGAGGACGAGGAAGGAGATCACGAGCGCCGCGACGAGGTAGCACGTGAGGCGGCGGTTGTCGCGGCCGGAGCGCACCATCGACGAGAAGCGCTTCACGCTGCCCGACAGCAGCCCCGTGACGCTCATGAACTCGCTGTCCTGGGGCAAGCATGAGGCACGCCGTGGGCGTCAATCGAGCACAGTCAGGCGAGTCCGGATCGCGCTTTTACTCCACAAAAGTGGCATTTCAGAATCAGGATATTTATCCTGGAGAAATCCGATGAGCTATGAAGCTATTTTTTTTTTTTTAACAGATGTCCAGATTTAACTGGTTAAAACATGGACGCTGCGGTGGTGCAACAGTTCGCACACTGGACTTGCAACTGAGAGGTTGCCCGTTGGAAATAATAAAACTAATACGTGCCGGTTGGCCACATGACGTCATGTGTCATGGGATGTCTAAAGTGATTTTAAGGCATTCCAATTAAGATACGCGTGATTTATTTTAAAACATATATGTGGGTTATCACATTTTCCAGTACATCCCTCATTCGACCATGAGAAAATGAAGCAAACAATAAGACCTTGATAAAAAGTCCTTATATTGAGAGTCAGGAGTGACGGGCACAAGCCAGTGACCTTGCGCTTTGGACGAAAGGATTGATGGATCACAAACAGGTCCATAAAACACTCAAACGTGCTGGACTTGAAAAAAAAACACACACAAGCAGAGCTTTCAGGAGACCGACCTTGGCACGTTTGTCACACGACAAGGCCCCATCCCAATCGCAGCGATCCCACCCCGGCGTCTTCCGTGTCGTGGATGAAATGTGACCCCGTGCTCACGGGGTCACGACTCCGCATCAACCCTCGCACTCACTCACCCTGCCGCCCGACCCCTAGCCTCACACGCCTACTCACCACATACCTCTCCAGCAGGGGGCTTTTCATAAAGCCAGCGAAATTATTACGAAAGGCAATAAGCCAGCACGCTTAGGTTTGCTCCGAGTTGAGGTTTTTTTTCTCTCCCTCCATTGAAAACATTCATCATCGACATCATCAGCCATGATTAATCAACTGCTAGATGAAGGCCTTCTCAAAGCCATCGCTCATGGCCCGAACTGTGAAGCTACAATTCACGTGGCACTTGTACGTGAGATGATCTCATCACTCCATCTCCTATTTTACAATCCTGGATTACATTAACGGTGAGAAAGCAATGATGGTAATTACTATCCCATGGACAATAGTGAACTCATATTCTTGGTTCTTTCAGTAAAGTCACGTTGAAGGGAAACAATAAAATAATAAAATATACATAAAACAACGTGACTTTACCGAAAGAACCAAGAATATGAATCACTGCAGTCACGAAAGCTTTAAATCAAAATAGTGAACTCATTTAAACTCACCATTCCATCCAGGTACTGATTGTGCTCCTCTGTTTCTTTGTCAATTTCCAAAGCAAACTGCACAACACAGGACCAGTTCAAAGACAAACACACACACAAGAGCAGTTCCACGAATTAAGATAACATCAGTCAAAATGTTCAAAGCATCCTAATAATGCATACGGGGGTGTCACCTTGAAGGTAATCGTTTTATAATTGTGGGTTATTTATGGGATACATTATTTGACACACAGAATAACTGAATGATCCATACCATCATCCAAGTGGGAATAAAAAAACTCAGTTCATCCATGGATGTCCATACACCACAGTATTATGAAAGGTGAACGGCGCATTCATTCTCTAATTGACAGTCCTAATTGGTCGACACATGATGAAGCTTAGCCACACATTTAAAGTGTGTGCAATGCACCTCCAAATTATGGAACCGTCCAGCGGTCATTTGTGCGGTCAAGTGAAAGCAGCATTTTTATATGAACCCAAATGTTAATGCTTTTCACAATACCAACCTTATATTGTATGTACACACTCAACATAATTAGCCATGACCAGACCACATTTGGGCTAATTCCTCCCCACGTCGTCACAATCCCTGCATATATGATTATTTAAGTAATCGATTGCTCAAGTAATCCAACAGCACAAAAACAGTTGAAAAACAGTAAGTTTTTTTCCTACGTGGCACTGGCCGGAAGATGATCAGCGGAGCTTGGTGACGTCTTCAGCATTATCTGCCACGTCACGCCGAGATCGGCTTGTAGGGGGTTTCCTGCCTTCGGAAGGCAGTAAAGCCGGAGCAGATACCATTTTTCAAGGGGGCCGTGAAATCTACCCCAAAAATTCAGCCGATGATATTTTCTTGTTAATGAATCAACTTCATGCGCCAATCGTCCCAGTTCTAATCCTAAAAAAACCTAATAGTTCAGTGGGCTTTACCTGATAAGATAAAATTTGTATATATTTTCAAGTAATTTGTTTACCTCACACAGGCAAACAAATCAAAGACTATGATGAAACAAATCAAAGAATATGATTTGTTTACCTTTCATATGCTTTGCACCATATTGTGTTTTTTGCATTGTTTGTCGTGATACAGTTCTGACCCCGTGCCCCTACCGGACATCGGTGAAAAAGAGCTTTATAGCTCATCGGATTCCTCACAGTATCACTACATATTCTGATTCTGAACTCAATCAGCTGTGATGGGGCAGCACCACGTACCGACTTGAGGCGAGACACTTTGCTGGAAAGGACTTCTGTAGCGCGCTGGTTCTCCGTGTCCAGCATCTGCTCCACGCCTCCCGTGACGCCTTAAAAAGAGTGCCACACACGCAATGGGAACGTTACTCCTCCGGTCGAAGCTCAAAGCACGTGGGGCGAAACGTCGGACATCACAGTGAACGGCGCGAGTGTTTGGACACATCTCAGCTTACCCATATTATCGGAGTACACCGTGTTTTTTTTCTGGCTGTCGCCTGATTAAGCTAGTTGTGATTACTGACGAGACGTCGTACTCAGATTGTAAATATTGTGGCTTGGCTCTCCAACACACCGGTGAGTGCTGTACTAGTGACGAATTGGCACGTTCTGTTTACGTGACAAACCTTACTAAATTGGCCGTGTCGGGTGGTGGCGGGTTTAACGACACATTTATATATTTACTCAATATAACCCAACAAAAGAAACCTGTATTATGTACACTGCATGTGTGTGTGTGTGATAATTCACAGGCAGTGTGGTCAAGTGTGGATGGTCAAGTGTGGATGGTCAAGTGTGCATGGTCAAGCGTGGATGGTCAAGTGTGCATGGTCAAGTGTGCATAGTCAAGCGTGGATGGTCAAGTGTGGATGGTCAAGTGTGCATGGTCAAGCGTGCATGGTCAAGTGTGGATGGTCAAGCGTGGATGGTCAAGCGTGCATGGTCAAGCGTGCATGGTCAAGCGTGCATGGTCAAGTGTGCATGGTCAAGTGTGCATGGTCAAGTGTGCATGGTCAAGCGTGGATGGTCAAGTGTGGATGGTCAAGCGTGCATGGTCAAGCGTGCATGGTCAAGCGTGCATGGTCAAGTGTGGATGGTCAAGTGTGCATGGTCAAGTGTGGATGGTCAAGTGTGGATGATCAAGCGTGCATGGTCAAGTGTGCATGGTCAAGTGTGCATGGTCAAGTGTGCATGGTCAAGTGTGGATGGCCAAGCGTGGATGGTCAAGTGTGGATGGTCAAGTGGGGATGGTCAAGCGTGGATGGTCAAGCGTGCATGGTCAAGTGTGGATGGTCAAGTGTGGATGGTCAAGTGTGGATGGCCAAGTGTGGATGGTCAAGCGTGGATGGTCAAGCGTGGATGGTCAAGTGTGGATGGTCAAGCGTGGATGGTCAAGCGTGCATGGTCAAGTGTGCATGGTCAAGTGTGGATGGTCAAGTGTGGATGGTCAAGTGTGGATGGCCAAGTGTGGATGGTCAAGCGTGGATGGTCAAGTGTGGAGCGGCTGGTGCAGGAGGAGTAAATTCGCAGCCTGCGCTATTAAACTTGTCGACGTTAAACGTCGCACAGCAAATTGTCAAGCAAACTCCCATAGCCGTCTTGTTTGTGAACTCGCACACTCGTACATACACACAAATCCAACACACTGCCTGAGAATATATTTTACTAGGCGACGTTTCGAGGCAATGGCCCCTCTTCAACTAATAAAATAATGAACGTGGCTTGTGTGCTGTGACCGAAGAGAGTTGTTTAAGTTTTGGCCGCCTGCCCTCATTCACGAAATAACTTATTCATAATGATGAGGGACTGTTATTACACAGAACCACGTAAAACTGCATAAGAACAATGTTGACACCACACTTGTATCTAAACGTTATAAAAAAAACATATTAACGCGAGAACGTTTCATCTTAACCCGTCACAGCTACACCGAAAGATGACCAAAAGTCGTCAACATATTTCAAGAAGCCGTTTAACTCCAACCAAAGGCGAGTTTTTGGAAAATGAGACACCGAAGGTGGTGGAGTCGGGTTGGGGGGGGGGGAGGAGGCTTCGCTGCCACCGACGCGCAACCGGGACGAGGCGCGGCGTGCCCGGTCTAAATCCAGGCCGAGGGCTAGGCGCCGACTGCGGCCTACTTAAACTCCGGGCTCGATATTTTAAACAAAAAAATTAACGCGGAGACAACGGTCGTGAAACGCACCCAGGGCGACTCCGTGGACACACGCGGACGACCGCGAGCGAGGAACAAATGTAATGTTTGTCGGTGCTGTTCGCGAGATAATCGAGCGATCACCAGACGCCACGAACCTTTGCCCCGCTCCGTCATGTCGAGTCGCTGTGTGTGTTGGAAGGGGTGGGGTCACTGAAAGAGGGGGAGGAGCCCCGGAACGTGGATAGCGGGCGATGAGACGCTCACAAGCGGATGTCCAACGCTGCTCACTTGCAACAAATTCACAAACTTTTATTTTTTATCTTGAAAAATTTATTATTGTTTTTTACACCTTTCTGGCATTAAAACAGGTGTTAAGATGTCGAAACCAGAGACAGCTTTCTTTAAAGCCTCGTCTCAAACGTTGTTAGACCAGAGGACGCCAAAAGGCGTACACATCACAAGAACAATGCTACTATCAGGACATTGGAGAGCTCGGGGTGAGCTGCCTTGCCAGTCTCAAAATGTAAGACGAGGTTTTACCCTTTCTGGCAAGAAAACAGGAGGGTGTCAAGATGTTAAAACACCAAACAGAATCCCTTTGCAAGGACTCGTGTCTGCATTAACCACATAAACTTGTGGCGAACATGCAAACAAAACAAACATGCTCTGGTAGTTTATGATGATGCATTGTCTATGAAACTGGTTGGTCCACACCAGAGACAGCTTTCTTTAGAGGCTAGTCTCAAGCAGTGTTAGACCAGAGGCTATTGAGAGCTCGGGGTGAGAAGCTACATCATGGGACCCTCCCTTGCCAGTATCAAAATGTCAGAAAAGGTTTTACCCTTTCTGGTAATAAAACAGGTGTTAAGCCATCTGGCTACCATGAGAGATTCGTTCATGAGGCTATCCACATATACAAGCAGAGAGACAATTTCAACCGAGAAGATGAATTCTGGTTTAGCAATCATTGGAAGGATTTGATAAACCATTTCAGGTCTTAATTGATTGTTCACGCTTACAGTGGCTTTCAGACAGCATACATTAATTTTTCGTCTCCCCCCTCCTCTTTTCAGAACATAGATGGACTAGTCCTTCTAAATAAACTGCCAAATCGCTGCGCGTGTCGCCGACGTTTTTATAAATAAATAAAGCTTAAAAATAGTAAATTAATGCAAACCGACACACCTGATGACGACCGTTTGTGTTATGGTCGAAACGTCGTGAGAATTTTTATTGTTTTATATATATTTTATTATTTTATTGTTTCCCTTCAACGTGACTTTACCGAAAGAGCTAAGAATATGAATAGGTGTTAAAATTTTGATTTAAAGCTTTCGTCCCTTCAGGGATTCATATTCTTGGTTCTTTCGGTAAAGTCAAGTAGAAGGGAAACAAATAATAAAAATACAATTCTCACGACGTTTCGACTGCAACACAAGCAACCATCATCAGGTGTGCAAACCACAGCAAGAAAATTGTATTGTTTCCCTTCTACGTGACTTTACCGAAAGAACCAAGAATAGGTGTTAAGATGTTAAAACATCAAACAAACCTTTTGCAAGGAATAGTGTCAGCATTAACAACATATACTTGTCCTGATAGTGGCATTGTCTTTGTGCTGTTCGCCTTTTGGCGTCCTCTGGTCTGACACTGTTTGAGACTAGCCTCTAAACTCTAAAGAAAGCTGTCTCTGGTGTGGACCAATCACTTTCAACGACAATGCATCATGTACTATCAGAGAATGTTATTTCTGTTCGCATGTTCGCCACAAGTATATGTGCTTAATGCAGACATGATTCCTTGCAAAATGTTTCTGTTTGGCGTTTTAACATCTTAACAAAACCATTTTTTATATATATAGTTTGATTCTGGCAAAACAGGTCCCATGTTGAGCTCATAGCTGTCAACCCATACGGTTTACCCCGTATTCTTGTAAAGAAAAATTCGGGTTTAGGTTCACACGGCGTACAGCCCTTTAGATTCGTGAAAAAAATAATGTGTAATGTTTTGTGTTTCTCCCTTGTGATGGGACTTTGTAGGATGAACGTTGAGCTTTATAAGGACACGGGGCGACTAATAATGTCTGAATTGGTCTGAAGGGTAGGCACTGTTAATGTGTTGACAGGCGTGCGAGCTCGTTACGATCCTGTAAATTGAGCAGAGTTATATAGTTAAGGTTAACGCGACGTTACCGGTACACAGGGCCTTGAGTTTCAAGCCCCTGTATCCAGTGAAGAGCGCGTGTAACCATAACCCATGAACAAACATAGCTTCCGATCACGATCGAATCGTACCGTCATAATCGATAGTGTTGCGAGTTCATGGGTGTATTTGTTTGATACGGCTAATTTAAGCGAAACAAGAATAATACTGCAGTGGGTGGAGTATTGTGCAGCGACCCCCTTGTTTTCAGCATGCAGGCCTTCATCCAGCAGTGGATCGATCACGGCTGGTCCCGACGAAGACGACGGAGTGCGTCTTGTTCGACACGTAGACGCCGTGACCGCTTTAAATCAGCTGTCGGGGCAGCCGCGCACACGTGGACACGTGCCACGTGGATGGGTCGCCGCTTGTTGTTGTGACGGCTCCGAACGCAAATCAAAACCGACCCGGATCGGGGATGTTGCTGCCTCATCGCCCACACACACACACACCGTTTATCCACAGAGCAAACCCGGACACGTTCCTAAAGTCGGCCAAGGGACAGCATTCTTGTTCCTTGCAAGCCCCGCGCGAGTCACTGGCGGCCCCTGACAAAACGCAAATGTGAAAACACCCCCCCCCAACCCAATCGTCGTGCTGTCAAACTCCTATTGGTTTTAAATGTGTGGCTGGCCTCGCGCTCTTATCTAATCGGCGAAAGTGCCCCCCCCCCCCCCCCCCGTCTGAATATTCGTGGCGGAAAATTCACGATTCAAGAGCTTCTTAGCTCACAGGGCAATTCGAAACATCAAAACTGCTCAATCGCCAGTGACTGTTTTTGCCCCCAAAGCATCCATAAAGTGGTAACCGTGTTATAAACCTTTAAAAACACACACGGATGTTGGTAACAGCTATTCCAGCCCTACACGGTTAGATGGTGTGAACTTTCTCGCGGGACGTGTTCGAGATGCAAATGTAGAACTTGTACCGCACGTAGCAAACCGTGCTAATCGAAGTTGGGGGTGACTTACAAAGACATCGAGTGTGGATCAGAGACCTCAGGCATCCAATTACCGTTCCGCTGTCCGTCACACTGGGGGATCCCAGCCACTTAAAGTGACGATTCGATTCATTTCAATTCTGCGATCTCATTCCACGGGGCTGTTTCCGTCAATGGTTTTGATGCACGTCTCTTAGGAGAATTCTGCATAGGATATGTAAATTATGACATCCCCCCACCGTTGGAATAAAATTAGGCAAAAAGGACAAAAATGCCGTAAAAATGTAGTCGGAGCTTCATTTTTTTCTGGGATGTTTTCCAGAACGCTGTTCGGCTGGCTTGGCAGTAGGGATTCAAATCGGCATACGGCAACTACTTCGAGTGCAAAAGTACACCACATTCCGACAATCGCAGGGCAAAATAATGCAAGAGGACGGATGTGGCGTCGCCGCCAATGTATAGGTCGGATTGTCGCAACAGCCTTCCCAGCTCCTTCTCCAGCTCAGGTTCAAGCAACTGGACACACGGGACTAAAAGAGAGGGCAGCGCGCGTTTTATTGAAATCGAGTTGTGCGCGCGTGTGTGTGTGTGGTGGTGGTGGTGGGGATGGAGGTCCACACGCCGGTGGCCTGGTTTCAAAAACCTCCCTACAGAGTGAAATGATCAACTGCCGAGCCATCCGATCTCCGTCCCCGCGACTCCGGGCGGCGGAGTCGGTGGCGACACGCGGAGACCGAGAAGGCGATGCCGCAGAACAGCGCCGTGCCGAGCGCCAGCGCCGAGAGGACCGTCGGCACGAGGGGAGGGAGCGAGTCGCTCCACAGCGACGCCGCTACCTCGCACGAACGCACAAACAAACAAAAAACACGCGCACCCACAACCCAGCCGACATTCGCCACCAAGCGACAATGTTGTCGCCGCAGTATTTTGCCGTGCCAGGCGAGGTGTGTAAAACATTGAGATCACGGGAAGGTGTCAAAAGCGAGAGAGTTTTGACTGGAAGATGCACACCCCCCGCCCCCCTGCGCGGCCTACTGCACCAGCTTTCTGCGATTTAGTCGCGAGGCACTGCGCTTCGTCTTTGGATGGAGGGAGATTGCCTCTAACACACACATCAGCACCACCCTATATAGTCCGCAGACTTTTGGGGCAAGTGTTGTTAGAGCACCTATTTAAAAAAAAAACACCAGTAGGTTGGCAGTGGTACAACGTGTGCCCACAAAGCTTGATGACCGTCTAGGCCCTGGATTAGATTCCCAGACTCGGGCACCTTTCTATGAAGTTCTGAAGGTCGCTCCCCCCCCCCCGTCCCCTTTGGATTCCCCGGTTTCCTCCCATAGCATAAAACAAAACCACACACACGAGTGCAACCAGTATTGGGGCCAAAACATCACAATGACAACAGACTCAGCACATTACTCAATTAGAGATCACACATGGCAATATCACCCCCACCCCCCAACTGCAACAAACTCAGAAAGAGGCCCTCCCAAAAAACCCCCACAAAATTGTCTTTGAGACTCCGGGAGACGACTTTGGTGGGTGAACACGCGACAATGCCGAGGCAGCAGCACAGTCCTCACCGCGAGCCTCCCTCGACTGCATCGGCAGCTCGCGCGGCACCTCCAGTAGACGCAAGGGGCCCACAGACGCCAAGCCCCTGGGTAAATCTGCGTCCCAGTCACGGGGCCTCGGGTCCGACACTCTCCCTGCAACGGATGGAGGGGTGACAGACGGGCATGGTGGGATGGTAAAGATACAAAACAAAGACTTCTCTCCCCCCCCCCCCCCACTATACAACCTTAACAGAATGTTGGGGCGAGTGCTGTTAGAGAGTACCCATCTACAGTACGATGCAAGCTGGTTATCTGCTCTTATTAGGATCATTCCTTGATTTGAATTAAGTTGCCTTAAATATAATGCAAGTGTTTATTGCTTTCAAATTAAATATTGCTTGGGGTTCTCATTGCTTTTCACTTTAAAAAAACTAACGTCTTGTACATTCATTACACATCTTAAAAATCGGACGTTCATGCAAACTCCATACACTGCAAAGCGTACGAGACGCCATCCAACAATAAAAGTCTACATTTAACATAATTTATTTTAAACTGCTTTTTGCGTGTTAGTTCGTCGTTTTTCCCTCGCACCTCCGATTAGCACGGTTAGCTACGTACGATGCGAAGTTCAACATAAGGTCACGGAGCGAGTTGCTAGCACAAGGCGGACACGTGGGGGGGGGGGGGGCAAACTCCCCCAGCATCACGCAAAATCTCTGCCACAAAGGAGGCCTTCACAGCCATCTCTTGGGGACCACCCCCAGTGGACCCGCTTGGGCAGGAGGCCACAGGTATGGCGAGTAGACGCCGCACCCGCACGTACTCTGGCGGCGCGCCACGCAGGTAGGAGGGATGCAGTTGGCGTCTCCGTCCCGACAAACGACAGCGCTGCAGTGGAAGAACACCTAGCGGCGGGGGTGGGGGGGGTGGAGATGTTAGGAGCAGAGATCAGCGACAAATGCTTAGCAGCCACCGTCAGCCGTTGAGGCTTCAACCGTGGGAGATCGTCAAATTGCTACTACCACCACCACACGCGTACCATCACTAAGGGGTTCAGTACTTCACTTGTCATTGGCATGGCAGTTTTAAAAATTGCACCGAACGATCGCTCGGCAGAAGCGGCGAGAATTGGGGTGGAGGCGGTGGCACCGTGGTTGAGAAAAATTTATAAAAATGCTCCGCACCGTGCGCAGGCAAGGCCGAGTTGTACCACTTAACGGAATCGATGCCATGGCCAAGGGCATCCAAGGCCACCATTAAAAGTATTGTCGGCGCGTGTGTTGTATAGAAGCAGCCAGGTCGGTGGTCACTTTTTACAGTATCGAATCTCCATTGCTGGTGGTTCTCTTCTCAGTATAGAATCTGCCATGCTGCTGGTCACTTTTTCATAGTATCGAATCGTCCCCCATGTTGGTGGTCGGTGCCCAGTGCGCACATCGGCGAGTGTAAGTAACGGAGACGGGCAGGGGGAAGAGGCTGGAGCTCACCCGGTCGTAGATGGCGTTCGGGCTTGCGCCGACAACAAACACAAACGTCTTCACCTCGAACCGCTTGTAGAGTCCAGGCAGGGGAACCTCCGGAGTCTCCTCGACGCCAAGAACCACCGTCTTGTAGTTGTCTCCGTCGAAAGGGCAGCTGCAAGGACGCAGAGTGCGTTGTTTGGACTCGATTCGCAAAACGGCCATAATATCGCCAGCCACCAGCGGGGGTGGGGGGAGGGGGGTCGGACACCAGAAAGCTGCCAGTCACAAAAAAAAACGCGCGACACTGCAGAGTTCTCAAAGTGTCCGATCGTCACCGAAGAAGTCAGAGCCACAAAAAGACAATTGCCATCTTTGCTGGCGATGAACACACCTGCAGATCTTTTGGCCGAAATAACTTTATCCAACATGTAAAATGGGAATTCCATGTGCAAGTTGGTTAAAGTGCATCTGTACAGTCGTCCGCAATTTACGCAACGGTCCAGCCATCTGCCACTTTCTAGGCTGTCCCACTTTGGCCAAACTTGCCATTGCGTCCTGCTGCTCAAAACAAACACTTCTGGGTGAAGTTCCCGAGCCGGGAGATGGAAATCCCACATTCCTATGGCAGGGACTAAAATTAACACCATTAGAAAATTAATGGTTAAGATTTATCAAAATCAGTGCTGTTGAGATTCTAGGGGGTGCACGGGACCCCGAGGGGTAAAAACATTTATACCTCTGATATTTTTTAGACAGATACAGGCAATCCTCGGTTTACACACTTTGTGGTACACCATTTTGGAACAACGCCCGCTTTTTTTACTTAGACCTTTGTTTGACATACGCGAGGTTATTTTCGGAATAACGTCACCCGCAACGCGAGGTATTCCACCCCTAGCCTGGCACAAACGGCATTGCCAGCAGCCAGTTCGGTACGATATCTCGTGTGAAGAGATGACTAAGGACACGGGTAGCCAGATGCCTAACATCCAGACGGGGAAGGGGCACAAAGGTGAAGGGATAATGAATGAGAAGGTTGTGTAGCAAGAGAACACAGGTTGGTTAAAAATTGAAGGACCGAGTATTATTTTGTGTACATGTATTGTGTTGATATAGGCTAGGATAATAAGCGATTATGTCTGCGAGGGCAAGTGAAATTCCCGAACCCCCTTCACCATTATTTTACTTATGGAAAAAACTTTGCTTTTGACGCAAGCAATTGAGATGCGCGCTTTACCCCCAGGAACGCATCTTTCGCGTATGGTCAAGGAGTCCCTGCACGAGTGATTCTTAATCCCAACGCGAGTCCCGCTCTCGCTCACTGACCCGTCCTGCAGTATTGGCCATAGGATGGGGCCGGCACGGTCGGGGCCCGGAGTGGCCCAGCACGTGGGGAGGAGGAGGACGAGGCGCGGGTCGGCGTGGTCGAGGAGTCGAACCTCCAGGAAGATGGGGTCGCGGAGTACCTTGATGACGGGGAAGACCGAATAGTAGGCGGAGTACGACTCGTCTGGGGAGGGGAGCAGCGAGATCGCGCAGACACCGACGTGCACACGCAGAACGGAGACAAAGATCAAAGATCACCCCCCCGCCGCCATCTCCGATAGCCTATAGTTGGAGATGCGCTTAAGATGTTTTTATCGTTGTGAAAAAACTGAAAACAACACCAGTCACTTAATTTCTACCGTCAATCATATTTCATACGGTTTATTCATTCACGACTGAATTGCTCAATTCTATCAGTTATTCACCCCCCCCCCCCCCCACAGCTCATTCATCTTCTTTCCATCATTCATCCCACTTAAAAAGAAAATCTCGTTTCATCAATTCGCTCATTCGACTCGTGTCACAAACCCGAATATTCCCCCCCCCACCTCCCCTCGCCCGCCACCTGTGGCGAGGCGCATCTCCACGCCGAGGTCCCCCCTCTCCTGGGCGGGTAGCGGTGGAGTCGGCGTGGGCACGGCCAACTGCATCGTCCCCTCCACCACCCCCACGTAGCGGCACCGCAGGGTGAAGCTGCGGCATTCAAAAGGAAACAACACGAATCGCAATGATCAAGCCACTGCTAATGCCACCCCCCCCCCCCCATCTCTGAACAGGCTGGTCACACAATTAAAAAAAATCTATCGATAAAATCGATTTTCATGCTCGCGATACAGACACCGAACTAAATTGTATGCGATGACTTTCAATCATCCGTGTACGTTCTGCGCAACCTTTGTTTCATTTATCAAATGCATACTTCAAACCAAAATACACTCGCATCCTTTTCCCATTCATCCATTTAATTAGGTCGATCCTCGAGTACCTTCAAAGCATTGCTCCTAGGCATCATGCTCCATTGTACATTCCCAGCTTTGTCCGTCGAAACAAATTGTCGTGCCACCGATTTACAAATGTCCCCAAAGGGGAACGTTTTCAATCCGTTCGATATCAGCTTAGCCACCACCCCCTCCCCTAACACTACCACAGTAAAGAAGCCCCATCACTACCGGTCACCACCACCACGTATGCAGAACTTCTTTCGCACCACCACCCGCTGTGGTTGTCGAGCAGCGATTGCGACGCCGTGGCGGTGCGCCCGCCGGACGTGGCCTCGAACCTGTACGTGCCGGACCTGGTGACCGTGACGTCGTCCTGCGCGCACACGTCCCGCTCGGCCGCCACCGTCGCCTCGTACTCCACGCCGCCACCGCCGGCCTCCACCTCGGCAGAGTTGGGGGACAAACAAAAATAGGTTTGCGGTCACCCCGGACAGTCACGGCAGAGTCTCCCCTCTCACCCCATCGACTCGTCTCCAGGAGGAGGATTCCAGTCCTGCTGATACAAATCTCGGGGGGGGGGGGGGGGGGGCGAATTATTACGTGGAAGGAAATCGGAGCACCCAGAGAAAACTGAAAAAACAGATTATTTATACTGGAGGAATCTGATGAGCTATAACGTTATTTTTTAAACGGATGTCCGGCAGCACGGGTACCGTGCCAGGGGGCACCGCTCTATCCCCGTACAGCTGACGATTAGTCCACTTGCTGTACTGCTTTCCCCCGACGCTTCAGGCCATGGCACCGCTACACCCAGTTAATGTTGCATGAAGAGCCGAGGGGGATTTGTTTCTACAGTGCACTGGGGGCTGCAGGAACTGGAGACGCCTGCGAAGACAAAGACCTTCCCCCGTATAGCCTTAACAGACTGTTTGGGCAAAAGCTGTTACAAAGCAGCACCTATGAAGGCCGGCACTGTTGCACAACGAGGGGGTGCGTGGCCAGCACCACGCCCGGCCGCCTTTGCCTTCCGAGTGGCGATGTTTACACAACGCACCCAGCAACTCATCGAGGCCGAGTAGACCCAGACACGCCAGGACAAACACGCTCGTTGCCCGGGCGCCACGGTGCCGAGACGTTAACCACCTCGCGTGGTAGAAAGAGGAGATTGGTGGTTCGATACCGACGCTGACGCCTGTATATTTGGATAATCTTTGGGTCTTTCGGTGAAGTCACGTAGATAGGTTCAAAGAACATAAAACATTTTTTTTTTTTACAAAAAAACGTTTCGATCGCAACACGAGCGATCGTCATTAGTACGAAAAAAAGACGATCGAGTGTGTTGTGGTGGAAACGTCGTTTTTTGTTATTTTCTTTGAACAAATCTACGTGACTTTACCAAAAGACCCAAATAATATTAGTTCCTGCAGTCACAAAAGCTTTAAGTCAAGATACATATTTGGATTCCGCATGGATCTTTCTCCGGGTTGTCTGGTTTTCCACGATTTGGAAACAGGCGTTTTAGATAATGTGGCTGCTATCAATTTCCAAGTGAAAAAAGGCACTTCATTTCAGCCATCATTTGTGGCCAGGTCGCTTCTGAAAAAGTGTGACACAGCTCAGTGAGGCCTTACCTGGTAAAAGAAAAACAGTTTATCAAACAATACCGTTTGAGACGGCATGCCCAGAACGCATCAACTGTGGCCCCCGCACTCCCGTTCACCACCCCCCCCCCCCCACGTACACCCACCCCCACGTACACCCACCCCACCCTCCCCCCGCGTCCCGTACCTTCCACACGGCCCCGCACTCCGCGACGCCGAAGCGGAACACCGCAAAGTCGTCGTCCAGGTGGACGAGGCCGCAGGAGCGCGACTCGGAGCCCTGCACCCTGACCGAGCTCAGGTTGAGGCCGCTGGCCGGGCCACTGGGCACCACGAGGACGAAGTGGCCGTCCCGCGTGCACACTGCGGGCAGCAGAGGGAGGGGAGCGAGCGAGCAACGCCGGCGAAGAGATGGCCTCGTGGTGGCACGAGGCTGGGTGGTGGTGGTAGTCGGGTGGGCATTAAATCTCCCGCAGGTCGATGTTCGTCGCTACAAGGCCCGCGGGCCGCTGGCGGTCCCTGGTGGCCTTTAGTGTGCCCTTCCCCCCTGCCCGCCCCCGTGATTTCAAACCCCAATGGTTTGAAATGCGTGGCGACACTTCACATTGATGTCTTACCGGCGAAAGTGTCCGCCCCCCCCCCTCCCCCTCTGAAAATACGTGAACCACTGCCGTGGGTTATAGCTTGGATCGGTGGACCAAAGCGCTCGTCTCGCAGAGCGCGAGTTTTGGTTTTTAGTGGTGGCGCGAGGTTAATGTTGCGAGCCAAGATTGGAGACTGTGGAGTTATTCATAGACCATTGGTGCGAGGCATGGGATTGTCCAGTGGTGGAAACGAGGGTGATGGGGACAAGGTATCATTGGTGGCAGTCCTCATGAGCGCTGCCATTTACCATCTGGCTCATCGTCCAAGGCGAGACGGTGGGCAGAGGGCACAAGATGTTCATGGTGGCGGGAGGCTGGGTGGCGGCGGATAAGGCAAGCATGGCGGCATCCCTCCAAGTCTCAAGGTTCTCTTTGTTTAACCAGGAGGGTCATTTGTGGTGTAACGTTCGAAATTGGGAAATGTATATCCCAACAAAGGCCGAACTCCCACGAATCAGGAGATTTATTCATGCAGAGCTCTGCATCTTGATGTTCCGGCTGGCTGAATAATACAATTAGCGTGTGCAGGCCGGCCAGTCACGTGACAATGCTGGTCAGTCTCAGAGGGAGCTTTTGGGGGGGGGGGGGGTCACTGGATTCATAGCGCATCACGCCGTCCACCCATGAGAGAGGGGCCCCCGCGCCACCCGTCCCTCTCAAATCGTGTGCCACGCTCATGTAGTTACCAGAATTCCCATAGATGCACGTCGACTGTTCACCACCGCCACCGCCATCTTCATAGCAGCAGCCCCTGGGCAAGACACGCGTCCTGGCCGGCAGACGGAGAGTCGCAAAGCGGCCGAGAGGACAGGGACACGGGGCAGTCCGAGTCACCTGGATCACATGGGTGGTGTAGTTGGGGGGGGGGGGGGGGACAGCAAGGTGGACATCACTGGTCAATCATCAGTCAAGCCTGCCACAACTCAAATTATTAGAGGTTGTTTGTGTGTACCGTACACAGCCAACTGCACCAATCGGTTGGCTACATACGGAGGTGTAGGGCCAGTCATAGTCCTGCACACGGCTACTCATGGCCATTAGGATGATCAGAAGTTGGCATCCTGACATCATGAAACAAGCTGGCACAGGGAGATGTTCACCAGTTGCCAGATGGTTGAGAAGAATGGTTTAGCCTTTATCGATAATCCATCGTTATGTCCCGGGAGGCTCATCGTCATCTTCGATCCATCACAACCATCTCGATCTCTCCTCCACCGCCATCGCCACAATCTCTAGCAGTCAACCCGTCAATCACTATCATCACCACCACATGACATTGACGAAGACTCCAAGACACTATTAGGGGGCAGACATCAAATTTTGACTACGGTAGAGGTTTTGATTTAAAGCTTTCGTGACTGCAGTAATTCATATTCTTAGCTCTTTCGGTAAAGCCACGTTGAAGGGAAACAATAAAATAATAAAATATATATAAACAATAAAAATTCACGACGTTTCGACCATAATACAAACGGTCGTCATCAGGTGTGTCGGTTTGCATTAATTTATTTTTAAACGGTGTATTTATTTATAAAAATGTCAGCGCCACGCGCAGCGATTTGGTAGTTTATTTTGAAGGACTAGTCCATCTATGTTCTGAAAAGAGGAGGGGGGAGACGAAAAATTAATGTATGCTGTCTGAAAGCCACTAAGCGTGATTGCTAAGCCAGAATCCATCTTCTCGATTGAAATTGTCTCTGTGCTTGTATATGTGGATAGCCTCATGAACGAATCTCTCATGGTAGCCAGATGGCTTACAAAGAACCTCTGTCTTGGAAAAGTCAATGTCATGTGAGCCTACTGAATAATAACAATGATCTGCCACGGCCGAGGTGTTGGTCCTACAGTGTTTAAGGTCTGCTTTGTGTTCACGAATGCGGTCCGAGACATGGCGTTTGGTTTCTCCAATGTAACTACTACCACAGAGGCAACTTAGTTTGTAGACACCAGGGTACTGTATGTCCGGAATCACATCTTTTACAGACGGAACCAGATCACGGATTTTATGTAATGTGTTGAAACGGACCTGGATCTTGTGTTTATTCAAGATTTTGGAGATCTTTTTTGTGATCCCCGCAATGTAGGGTAAAGTGATGGTTTTGAAAGGCTCCTCAAGAGGGTCCTTCTTCATAGTTTGAGTGATAGCTTTGCGGATTGTATAGTCGGAGTAACCATTAGCCTTAAGAGCTTGGTGTACGTGCATGAGTTCACTGCCTATGTGTTCCTGGTCGGATATGCATTGGGCTCTATGATACAGAGTCTTGATGAGAGAGTTCTTCTGTGATGGATGGTGGTGGGAATCAGGTTCAGATAAGCATCCGTCTATGGGCAGCTTTCCTGTAGACAGAGTGGCTCATTGAACCATCAGGTCTCTTTTTAATTAGGATATCCAAAAAAGGTAGCTTGCCATCTTTTTCGACTTCCATGGTAAATCTCATGGCTGGGTGTATGGAATTGATGTGGTCGAAGAATTGGTCTAGAGCATCACTTTACCTACATTGCGGGGATCACAAAAAAGATCTCCAAAATCTTCAATAAACACAAGATCCAGGTCCGTTTCAACACATTACATAAAATCCGTGATCTGGTTCCGTCTGTAAAAGATGTGATTCCGGACATACAGTACCCTGGTGTCTACAAACTAAGTTGCCTCTGTGGTAGTAGTTACATTGGAGAAACCAAATGCCATGTCTCGGACCGCATTCGTGACCACAAAGCAGACCTTAAACACGGTAGGACCAACACCTCGGCCGTGGCAGATCATTGTTATAATTCAGTAGGCTCACATGACATTGACTTTTCCCAAGACAGAGGTTCTTTGTAAGCCATCCTGGCTACCATGAGAGATTCGTTTCATGAGGCTATCCACATATACAAGCACAGAGACAATTTCAACCGAGAAGATGGATTCTGGCTTAGCAATCATTGGAAAGATTTGATTAACCATTTCAGGTGTGATTGCTCACGCTTACAGTGGCTTCAGACAGCATACATTAATTTTTCGTCTCCCCCTCCTCTTTTCAAAACATAGATGGACTAGTCCTTCTAAATAAACTGCCAAATCGCTGCGCGTGGCGCTGAAGTTTTTATAATTAAATAAACCAGACCGTTTTAAAAATAAATAAATAAATGCAAACCGACACACCTGATGACGACCGTTTGTGTTACGGTCGAAGCGTCGTGAGAATTTTTATTGTTTTATATATTTTTTATTATTTTATTGTTTCCCTTCAACGTGACTTTACCGAAAGAGCTAAGATTATACGGTAGAGATCACAATGAAGCCCGAGGTCAAATGGATGACAAGGGCAGAGGTCACAATGATGAGTCAATCATTGAGGTTCGAGGTAATTGTGTAGAGGTTAGGGCCAGGCGCAGCTCCAGAGCCGCATGCAGCTCTAAGAACTGCGTAAGGATCGTCGCGTATTCACGTGCACTGCAGCTCTTGAAAGTTTTTTTTATTTACCGAATTGGAAGGGGAAAAAATGGCTATTGTCATGTTGGTTGGACGACCCCTGGATTGGGGCGGGGAGGGGGGGGTCACGATGTGCATCGTCTTCGCTTACCGACTACGAGCGAACGAGGCCCCAGGGTACAGGAGACTGAGAAGGTTGTGCGAGACGTCACTCGGTACGCCGTGGTCTCCATCACAAACACCATGCGCCTGCTCGAACCCTGTGAAGGAAATCGTCAGGAGGGACAAAGCCCTGCGGCAGAGTCGGCGGCGGGGGACGAGCCCCCCCCCCCCCCATTAACATAAATCAAACCTCGGTGTCAATGGGTTCGTAGCGCATCGCTCAGATCACCGCGCCACCGCCTCCCCAAACAGTTGGTCCGGAAGTTGCAAATAATTAATAGGATACTCTTTGGTTCTTTTGGTAAAGTCACAGTTAGAAATAAAATAAAATAAATCACGACGTTTCGATTGCAACACAAGCAATCTTCATTAATAGGATTTTTTATATATATGCAGGGTGCTTAAAAAATGTTCACACTTATATGGGACTACCGGTTTTAAATAGCAAAAGAACGGATAACAACATGGAAACAGGATAACAAATTTTGATTTAAAGCGTTCGTGACTGCAGTAATTCATATTCTTAGCGCTTTCGGTAAAGTCACGTTGAAGGGAAAAATAAAATATATATGAAAACAATATATATTTTATTATTTTATTGTTTCCCTTCAACGTGACTTTTCCCGAAAGAGCTAAGAATAGGATAACAAATGTATGTTAATGGCTTCAAAGAGTCTCCACTGTTCGCCATCATCGCCAACGCGTGCCGGAATATTCTCCAGGTGGTCCTCCAGAGCCCCCGGGGGAGGCACAACACTTCTTGCGGTATTGTTGCAAATTTTCAGAAGCGTTAACATTTCTTTGAAGCACCCTGCATATACACAAGTGGAAGAGTTGCTGGGAGACGATTGTGGGTGACGGTGCTTGCCCGTTAGTTGCGGCGGGGGGGGGCAATGGGCGCGAGATGAAGACAAACGACGCCAGCAATGGCAAAGGGTTGATCCTCTCACCGCGGTCCGCTTACCAATGCGGTCGCGTAACAGCCGTCATTGGGGGCCGAAAACTCGAGGCTGCCGTCGCCCGGCCTCTCCAGCCGGAACTTGCAGCCGCTGGGAGCGGAGTTCACGTTCACCAGAATCCCCGCGGCATCTGGGCACCATCAACAACGCTTAACTACACCGGGAAACAAATTAAGCCAACGAGGTTCTGGCGTGTCAAAAATTCCTCCTCGTCGTTGGTTGCACATTTGTGAAGATTACCGATTAATGAGTTTTAAAGCAAAAAGGAGGTGTGGAACATCGGTTTTGACGGGTGGGTTCACGTAGCCTTCAGGTAGGCGGCCGAGAACGTTACTAAATGTTAGTTTGTTCACTGCATTTCCACTTCAAATGGGCCACCCCCTCAAGTGACGCGACTACATTATCAGCTCAGGGGATTGCGGCAACCGGCCAGGTGGGGTGCCCCGATATTCGATTCGTCTCGCGCAGTGGAACCTCGGCTGTTACATCGCGCGTGTCTCCTCTTGCCCAATCACATCATTAAGCTCACGGTCTCGAACATTTAACGCTACAGGGGTGCTCCGTCTTAGCAAAATGCAGCCACTACGGCTCAGCAGTATCGCTTGCAATATAATCATTGACGTGTATCTATATTCTTGGTTCTTTCGGTAAAGTTATGTAGAAGGGAAACAATGAAGTAATAAAAATATAAAACAATAAAAGTCTCACGACGTTTCGACTGCAACACAAGCAATCATCATCAGGTGTGTAAACCACAGCAAGAAAATTTGAAAGTGGCGGGTTTTTTTAAAATAAAAATAAATAATAAAACCGCCACTTTTTTCAAATTTTCTTGCTGTGGTTTTCACACCTGATGATGATTGCTTGTGTTGCAGTCGAAACGTCGTGAGAATTTTATTGTTTTATATTTTTATTATTTTATTGTTTCCCTTCTACGTGACTTTACCGAAAGAACCAAGAATATGAATCCCTGCAGTCACGAAAGCTTTAAATCAAGACGTGTATCTAATTAAAATAAATATCCCAGAAATAGCGTTTTATTTTCATAAAGGTTTTTGTCTTAGATTGTGCAAGTATAAATGTGTCGTAACCCTCCACCATCCTACAAAGCCTACGTGTTAAAGAGTTCGTGAAAGCATTTTCATATCAATTAACTTAAATCGCGTTATAAATAAGTTATTTTATACCGTTACAAAACACATCTCATGGTGCTCGTCAAAGGCCCTCTCCCGCCCCCAACTCGTGGCTTTGTCCACCTGGAAGGAGGGGTCAATGCACCCCCTGCCTGCCCCACACGCTAGTTAACGTCACTGGCCACCGTGTACAATGATCTATACATGCCAGCAAAAATCACTGCCGGACGAAGGACCCCCCCCCCCACTCTCCTCCTCGCGAATGCCGTCTCAGTCGTGCCGAGTTATTTCAAAACACTCTGCACCACGCCGGTCACTGCGGGTTGGTGAAGGCGTGGCTGAGGAATGGTTTAAGCAAAATCGCTCACAACCGATGTTAGCCATAGCCAGGAATCGAACTCGCGTCAGTGGGTTCGTGACGCAGTGCAGCGCTATTCGCCGTGTAAGTAACAATAGGTGTTACGTACGATGTCAACGTCGTTACTCAGGACGGGCTCACCGACTCGGAGCATTTTCAGGAGGGTCAATCATTGGGTTTGTGACGTCTGCCCGAACAGATATCCCAGAGTTACTCCCTTCAGTTCCACGGTGAAGAAACTGGGCCCGTTATTCGACTAAATATCATCCCAGGTTACTCATTCATTTCTTTAGATCAGAAGTGCCGAAGCGACAGCCAATGACAATTTAAAGCAACGACCGCTGCAGTAAAAAAAAAAAAACTTTACCCTCGCGAACAGTTTGACTTTTAAAACGGAGTCGATCGGAGGGGATGACGAGGGAGGGGGTGGGGGGGGGGGGTGCACGGCTAAGGCACCACCGCTCACCTCTTGCGCTCAGCAACACAAGGCCCCAGCCCAGCGCTTCCCTGGGCATCACGAAGCCGATTGTGTCGACCCCACAGCGCACCAGGGACTCTGGGGAGGGGGGGGGTGACAACATCCAAAAAGTGCGATGCGACAATAACAATAAACCTAAAATCGTGATTCACATTGCAGTGCAAAATCCTGCACCTTCTTACGTGTGGCTCCTGGTGTCGTTGCAGAGCAACAGCTCACAATTTCACATGCAGGTGGGGCCAAAGCGCAGATAACAGCGTTAGCAGCAGCGGCGGCGGAGTGGATCGTCTCTGCGATGTCTCCTTCATGTTTGAGGATCGGGAGCATTGCGTCCTTATAGGTTGTACGGTCCCGTTCATGGATGACCACAGTCGCACTACTACTGGAGTTTGTTTTTTATTGTCCATTTGTGCATCAGGTATCCGCATCTGCCGTGGTTTGTGCGGTGGATGAGATTTAGGGTGGAGCACGAGTTTTGTGGAAGATCAAACTCGGGGTTCTTCTGCATTGGGTCTTTCACAATACGTTTGCGAGTTCTATACCAATTGGTTGTGACGAGAAGAGCTTCGATAGATGGATTACATTCTTTGGAGAAGGGTAAGAAAATCACGGCTGGAATATTACGGGGTAAAGAGGCAACATGTGATGAAGAGTACGGTAGAAGCAGTGGCAGAGCTATCGAGTGTGCAGGTGGTGCAATTGCAGTAGGGGCCTAGACACTGGGTCACATGGGGGGGGGGGGGAATTGCACAGGCGTCGCCAAACAGTGCACTGGAGAGTAGGAACCGCGACTACTAGCCACAGGCTTGAGCGACTGTAGATACTTGGTGTGGTGTGCCGGGTGCAGAAATATTGCAAGGGTTGCGGACCCAGAGAGACCTGGCTGAAATTAGGCCCCGTGGTGTTTGTCTCTCTACCTGCTAGAGGCGGTGGGTCCAGTTGGCCACGTGCACTGCTGACGATTAGCGCCACCACGAGAAAACTGAGAAAAGGAGGTCACAAGTGTACAAAAGTCACACACACACACGACTTCACCAGTTCCCCCCCACCACCACCATGTAGCCTTATCAGACTGTCGGAGCAAATTTTGTTAGCGAGCGCCTATTAAAGAGTAGAACGGCGCACACCGAAGTCGTGGGGGGGGGGGGGTGGTGGTGGGGGGGGTCAGAAAACACGCACAGCCGTCGTGACTCTCGTGCGGATGTTCACACAATGGAAACGATGATTCATTTCAAAAGGCGAGACAATACGTTCATATTGCAAACACGCACACAAACCACACAGACCGCACCGTTCCTTCATGTTAGCGAGCACCTATGAAGGCCGGAACGGCGCGAGAGGGGGGTGGAGTGTGGCCAGTACCGCGTTCGAGTGCTTCCATGCTGATGCTTACACACACACCGCACCAGAGATGTTCATTTAAAACGACCGAGTAGACCTAGTTGGGCGACTCGAATTTGTTCATAGGGGAGGTCGGCAAGGCGTGTCGCTGCAACGGAGCATCCCAACGCAGCGCGCCTACCAACAACAACAAACAACGCCGACACCACCACCGGCTAAATCAGAATCGCATGGAGACCAGTTCATCACCACAAACTCTCACATTCAATCACCACCACTACAGCATCGGCACAAATCGGCGACCAGTGCAAGCGTCAACGTAACACAGACGACGCTCCACAGCCAATAGACCATCCACCTGCCATCACCACCCCGATAACGATACCGTGGAGCAACACGGCCACCGCCACCAACATCACGCCCAGCACAAACATCTCCCACCGCGTACGTAAAACGAAGCACGGAACTCAACTCGAATTCTTCACCAACACGGTCTTAAAAAGAACGAAACAAAAAGAGAGGCCACAATACCAGCCAACGTTCCCGGGGGGGGGGGGGGCATGTCCTTATACCTGCGAGGTGCGCCTTATACCTGCATACGCGCGGCAACATCTTTCCCGCGGTCACCTCGCGTTTCACTTCCATCCCCCCCACGAACAGAGAGCAAGGAGGTAGCGAGTAGCCCCCGTTCACGCGTGTTGCAGCCGAAGACTGTTTTGCCGTGCCGCTTATACGATTCGTACACGGTGGTTCTTGTTTAGCCTGTATTGGACTCGGCGTTGTGTGTTGGTGGGTGGAGAGGGGGGGGGGGGGCACAGGTGAGTGATTATTTTAATATAATGCAATGAGCCACGCTCACCTGTTGTGAAGCTAATCACATCACTAATTAGCGGTTATTGATTCATTGGTGCGCGCGCACAAAGATCCCCCCGTGTAGCATGAACAGACTTGTTGATGCTCATCTATGCATCGCATGAACACTACCAGCTCGGTCCGTGAACTGAGTCTCCGTCTTGTTGGGGAAATTCCGTTAATGTGCAATTGTTCACCCTGTAATAGTACAGCGTGGTCCAGATGTATTGTGACCTCCCCCCCCCCCACTCCAATTTAATTCTATAAAACTGAATGTGCCATTTTTGTTTGAAGCAAAGTTTATTGAAAACAAAAACAAATTAATATGCAACGGTTTAACTACTCGGTTGAAACAAAATTAAACAAGGGAGGGGGGGGGGTAGCAGTAGTTAAAAAATGGTTACGAACCACCACTCTACAATCAACATCAGTCGCAAGAAGGAGGAGGATGAGAAGGAGAAGTCGATATTGGCGCGCGCAGGTGAGTCGTGTTCTCGTTAGAACGAGCGCGTTCACCTGGTCCACGGCTGCAGGTGAAGGTAATCGCGGCACCGGCTGAGCGGGAATTGATGATTGGTGCGTGCACGCAACGCCTCCTCACCTGTTTGATGCGCAGGGCATCGAAGCTGCCAAGTCCGATGCGTTGGTGGAGTCTTCGCATACCAGGCGACTACTTCGCCTGGTATGCAGGAGGTCGTGGGTTCGATCCCGACCCTGACACCTGCTATTGTATATTTGGAGTTTGCGTGTCTCTCTCTCTCTCAGCATCACCACGCTGGCGAGATGTTAACTACCTCGCCTGGTATGCAGGAGGTCGTGGGTCCGATCTCGACCCTGACTCCTCCTGCTGTATATTTGGAGTTTGCGTGTCTCTCGGCATCATCACTGTGGCTAGGATGTTAACTACCTCGCTTGGTATACAGGAGGTCTGGGTTCGATCCCGACCCTGTTGCCTGCTGCTGTATATTTGGAGTTAGCGTCTCTCTCTCTCTCTCAGCATCATCACGCTGGCGAGATGTTAACTACATCGCCTGGTATACAGGAGGTCGTGGGTTCGATCCCGACCCTGACACCTTCTGCTGTATGTTTGGAGTTTGCGTGTCTCTCTCTCTCTCCCCGTGGTCGCGTGGATTTATCACCAGGTCCTTCGGTTATAATCTCCGCACTTAGAATCAACATCACCACGCGTTTAGAGGATTTGGTTGCTGCTATATATATCCACGCGATACGCCACTTCGCTATCATTTGTGGCCAGGTCGCTTCTGAATAAGAGCTGTACAGCTCCGTAGGCCTTAACTGGTTAAACAAAAAGATTTGTTTCATAGGTTCAATTGTCTGGATTATGCGACGCACGTTAACCACCACTTTAAATTCAATCCGCTCGCTGGGCTGTTAATTAATATCCCAATGCGCGCGTGTGGCCAAATTTGTTTACCAAATGCGCGACGAGCCCGGCGATCCGTGTTCCGATTCTCGCTCGTGACCAATAACAGTGACGAATATCTGAACCGGTCCTGTGTCTCCCCCTTAGGGTCAACTCGGCCTTAAATGAGTAGCCTGGCACGGTGGTGACCGAGGCGTGACGCTTGCCACAGTCACCCCCTCTCGTGTGCTTTTAAGCAGTGCTCGCTACAATCACTTGCCCCTACTGCCCGTGTGGCCTACAACGGGGGGGGGGGGGATATCTTAGTCTTTCGCCAGAATGGTATCACATTGACACCGGGGGCGCCAGTCTGGAGTGCGTCTTATTATCCGCAGTGTCTTGAAATCCGAAGGCTGCGGCATCGGATTATTTGTCAGATCTCTCATGACCAAATCTGTGGCCACAAAGTTAATGGCACGCGGGTGGTCGGGAGGAGTTTGCTTGTGTCGCACGGCAAGGGGAAATTTGCAACGTTATTTGTGTGTATGTATACATCGAGGTTGTTAAGCGATTTTCAGTTGTCTCGGTGGAGGCTTGGTGGGATGTCTGTGATATTGAATGGGGCGGTGCCGTTATACGGTGTTGGATTATGTGTCCATAATGAGGTTTTTGGGTTAGATAGCGTAAATATAAATGTGTCGTTAAACCCGCCACCACCGGGTAATATTTTGTCACGAACAGTTATGAGTTTACGGCGCACAGGAGACACGGTTAGTACCCGAGGCTCGGAGAACCCAGACCATGATTCCTAAGGGTCGGTTTTGAATTCCCGATACCAATTTTCCCAGAGAGACCTTACGCCACCCCCTGAGATTCTTTGGGTTCGAATCTTTAATATCCGGTGGGTGGTGGATGCGGTTTGATGGCAAACATGAACATAAGTTTAAGTGAACAGAAATGTCTGAACGTGCAAAACTTTTTTGGTTTAAAGCGCTGTGCTTGCCAGCTCATTATTACTATTATTACTTGTGCACTCGAGGACCTGACTAGTGTTGCGAAGATGCTCGCAGCGATGGAGAGTTCTCGTTTGCAGACCGCTTGGTGAACGGACGACAGACAATGACGGCCTCGTGTGGACGCGACTCGTAAGAAATGAAATCGCGGATTTCGTGCGGTCCGCGGGAAGTAGAATCCCCACCCCTTGCTGTAAAGCCCCCCCCCCACTCCCTCACCTCCCCCCTCCCTCTTCTCGGTTTAAGTGCGACCCCTAATCCGTTAAGATGATTATTGCAATGAGGCTGGGTGAGAGAGGCCTCGCCTGTGATCGCTCAACCGAGTCCCGTCTCCTCCCCCGCCCACCTCCCTCCCTCCCCGCGGCCTCGCGTGATGCCTGACGTGCACAGGCAAACTGCATTTATCCTCATCGCTATCACCACCGCCAGCCAACTCACCAACCACCCCACAACCTCCTCCAATAACACTTTAAAGAGGTGCCCTCCTTAATATTTCTCTGCCTGATGTAGTATAGTTAGACAAACGCCCGCTTTGTCCACGGCGTTGGAGGGACCTTCATCCAGCAGTGGAGTGATACAGGTCTCTGAAAGTATTATTGTATACATATCAAGGCAGAGACACCTCTGTATTCACGCAATAGGCTATAATTATGCGGGCATCGTGAGGATGAAGACTCCTAATCAACGAATCGATGCGTTTCTGCACCCCGTACACTCAAATGTAACGGCGCAGCCCTGCAATGTCACACTCACGCCGATGCTGATTGCAAAGGGCCTCGAGCGAGCTATTTATTTTGGCCTACTCTTCCACGCTGACCAGACGCGTTGGAAGAGGGTGGGAGTACCCACACTTCACCCCACCCCACACGACGACCTGCCGATCAGTGAACTCTGTGGTATGCCCAGTTATACTTCTGAAAGGACAGCGGTGGAGGACACGGGGGGGGGGGGGGGGGGTATTGAAGAAATTGTCACCATTGTTTCAGCTGCCGCGCCGGGAAATCAAACGGGGCGACATTTGGATTGCAAGTCCAGCGCGCTAACCGTTACCCCCTCCCCCCCCCCCGGCAGCATCCATCGCAGGCGCGATCCTCTGCTTCATTTAGCACACGTCAAGACCCATTCACACGAACATCCAGACATATTACCAACCATACTCTTTGGTTCTTTCGGTAAAGTCACGTAGGTATAAAATAAAGTCAGCAGCAGACCATGCTTTCCCATCTGATTACGGACGCTTGTGTTGCGCCCGAAACGTACGTGATTTATTTTATTTTATACCTACGTGAATTTACCGAAAGAACCAAAGAGTATGGATTCCTGCAGTCAAATCAAGAATGTAACCACCATTCACCCTCCTCCTCCAGACGATTCGAGTAATCTTCATGATTCGGGGTTTATCGCTTGAACTCGGGCAATCAAGAGTCGGTATATGTATTTAAGTCTGCTTTGAAAACCCCATCTCTTTAAAGTTGCCTTCCCTCTCTAGTTTGGTCGCTTGGCCCCCTGGTTCTGTTTTTATTTCCTGCTTTTCATGCATTGGACATTGGGATCCTAGGATGGAATGCGCATTATACATTTTTATTGTTATATTGTCTGTACCGTCACGCCAGTATTGCCCCATGTGGTTTGGCCATCTCTCTTTGTAACGTTCTGTTCGGTCAAAAACGAACGCTAACATTAGCATACAGTATCGCAATTTCATACGTTAGCATGCATTGATTAAAATAAATTCTTACACGCACGGTTGTATGCATGTACGGCGAGCAGAAAGGATTAGATTTTAAACGGTTATTAGCCGGACATCTCCTCCTTGGCAGTAATGACTGAGGGCAGCCGTATTTAGAGTAATTACACGCATTTTTATAATTAAGTTCGCGAGAAATGTTAACCAGTCCAGCGTAACGCCTGCACCTGATCCTGTGCCACTAAATGTTCAGCACAAACAACATTAGCACATTAACCACAATCACCATCAGCCTCCACTACCACCACCAACCCACCTTAGCCACCATCATCACCACCACTTCTTGGCTGATGTAGATGCAGAGCAAAAAAACACAATGTCACATTCTGGTGGTCAAGTCGGATAACCGCGTCAGCAGTAGCGGAGTGTATCGCTGTGATGTCTCCTTCGTATTTGTGGATCGTGCATTGCGTCGTTATACGTTGTACGGCCTGTTCTGGATGATCACAGTCGCACCACTGCTGGAGAGATTTCAATTGTCCATATGTGCATCAGGGTATCCGCATCTGCCAAGGTTTGTGCGGATGCGATTGAGGGTGGACCATGAACTTCGTGGAAGATCAAACCCAGGGATCTTCTGCGTTGGGTCTTTCACGATATGCTTGGTTGTGAGTTCTTTTGAACTCCATTCGGCTCTCCAAGTTTCGTCGGGGTTGAACCCACCACTGGTAACCACGAGAATTAACCACCCAACCCTGGAGGTTAGTTCAGTTAGTTTTGTTTACCGAGGTGAGAACTCAACACGTAACTCATACAGCAGCCTCGTTTGTAAGAGCGACCTGGGGCATTGATTGGTCTGTCAGGAAGGGGTGACGATTGCTGTTAAGTGTAATCCAAACGGAGTAATTTGCGGGTAATTTTCGAATTTGGTCAAATTGGACCCTGACCCCGATACACAGTGTCCTCTTAAATATGAGATCACAGGATATTTGAGGTCCACTATGAATCAGATGGAGTGTATTATTATGGCCATTTACACGTCGCAGTAATAATGAAAGAATCAGCAGCACTGTCAGCGTCATCACGATCACCACCACTCACGAATGCCGCCACCACAACCAACAACACAATAATCACCACCACCACAGATAATCTCATCATCACAAGCACAATCAGTACCATCACGACTGCCATCAACCACCAACAAAGCG